CTTTTTTGGGCCGCTGTTCAGCAAGTCACTTACTTTTGAATATGACTCTCTCAACAATTAATTGGACATGATTTGCACCTGCCATGCCAAGTCATCTTCAGCAAGGCTTGCTTTGTATCCTTGAACGTTGTTTAATTTACCTAGAAGATGCAAGCAGTCCAGCCTTGCCGTTCGCAGCACTTATTTATTTTTTAAATGTGCAAGCGTTAGGATTGGTAACTCCTCAATCGTAGAGTCATGGTGCTGGATGGGACCCCTGCCCTCCCCCCAAAAAGGTCTTTTAGTACAACTACGTGCAATGCCAGAATCACACCCAAAGCACCCTTGACAGATGGCCGTCCAATGTCTACTTAAAAGCCTCCAAAGGAGAGTCCATCACCTCTTGAAGTTTCCGAGCACAATTCAAAGTGTTGGTGCTGACCTTTAAAGTCCTAAACAGCCTCGGTCCAGCATTCCTGAAGGAGCGTCTCCACCCCCATCGTCCAGCCCAGACACTAAGGTCAAGCTCCGAGGGCCTTCTGGCAGTTCCCTCCCTGCAAGAAGCCATGTTACAGGGAACCAGGCAGAGGGCCTTCTCGGTGGTGGCCCCCGCCCTGTGGAACGCCCTCCCACCAGATGTCAAGGAAATAAACAGCTATTTGACTTTTAGAAGACATCTGAAGGCAGCCCTGTTTAGGGAAGCTTTTAATACTTTGTTGGAAGCCGCCCAGGGTGACTGGGGAGACCCAGCCAGATGGGTGGGGTATAAATATTATTATTATTTATTATTATTATTACAGTGGTACCTCTGGATGCAAACGTTCCTGAGCCCCGTTTGCATTCTGAAGCGAACGCAACCCGCGCCTGCGAGGATCGCGATTTGCCGCTTCCACGCGTGACGTCATTTTGAGCGTCCGCGCATGCGCGAGCGGCGAAACCCAGAAGTAACGCATTCCGTTACTTCTGGGTCGCCATGGCGCACAACCCGAAAACGCTCAACCTGAAGCATATTTAACCAGAGGTATGACTGTATTGTGGGAGTCTGTTCCACTGTCAAATAGCTCTTGCCGCCGGGAAGTTCTTCCTGTTCAATCGGAACCTCTTGTCACCCGAAGCCAAGGGTTCGAGTCCTACCCTCCGGATCAGGAGAAAACAAGCTTGCTCCATCTTCCTTTTAGATATTTGAAGGTGTCGCTCGTGTATCTCCTCTGTCCTGGGCTAAACATGCCCGTGATGTGCAAATGTCCAGGCAGAGTTTAAGAGCAGCAATTTCTCTTCCTGCAGTTTCCAGCAAGCGAAATTCAGAAGCATCGCTGCCTCCCCAGCTGCGGAGGCAGAGCTTAAACATCATGGCCCATAGCCATCGATAAGACAAATTTATGGAGGAAAGCCTCTTTCAAGCCATTCAAGTGGGAGGGAGTTCCATGGTTTAACACCGTGCTGCGCAAAGGACTTATTTGTCCTGAACCTCCCAACATCCAGCTTCATCGGCTAGTGCTATGAAGGGCGAAAACCTTTTCCTCTTATCATAGAATTAGAAGGTACCCCATGGTTCATCTAGTCCAACCCCCCTTCAATGCAGGAATCTCAGCTAAAGCGTCCGTGACTGATGGCCATCCAACCTCTGCTTAAAAACCTCCAAGGAAGGTGAACCCACCACCTCTCATGGGAGTCTGTTCCACTGCTGAGCAGAAAGTTTTTCCAAATGTTCAGTCCAGGCACAGGCAAAGTTGGCCCTCCAGCTGTTTTGGGACTACAACTCCCATCATCCCTAGCTAGCAGGGCCAGTGATGATGGGAGTTGTAGTCCCAAAACATCTGGCGGGCCGAGTTTGCCTATGCCTGGTTTAGTCAGAATCTCCTTTCTTGCAGCTTGAAGCCATGGGTCGAGTCCTACCCTCCAGAGCAGGAAAAAACAAGCTTGCTCCCTCCTCCGTGTGGCAGCCCTTAAGATATTTGAATACGGCTTTTCATATATCCTCTTTTTCCAGGCTAAACATCCCCAACTCCCTCAACCGTTCCTCACAAGACCCTTGGTTTCCAGATCTCTGCACACTTTCCAGCTTGTCAACATCCTTCTTAAACCGGGGCACCCAGAACTGGACACAGGACTTCCAAGTGTGGCTCAACAAAGGCAAAATAGAATGGTACTATGACTTGCCTTGATCTGGACCCTAGACTTCTGTTGATGCAGTCTAGAATAGGTAAAGGGACCCCTGACCATTAGGTCCAGTCGTGGCCGACTCTGGGGTTGTGGCGCTCATCTCGCTTTACAGGCCAAGGGAGCTGGCGTCCAGCTTCCGGGTCATGTGGCCAGCAGGACTAAGCCGCTTCTGGCGAACCAGAGCAGCACACGGAAACGCCGTTTACCTTCCCGCCGGAGCGGTACCTATTTATCTACTTGCACTTTGACGTGCTTTGTAACTGCTAGGTTGGCAGGAGCAGGGACCGAGCAACGGGAGCTCACCCCGTTGCAGGGATTCGAACCGCTGACCTTCTGATCGGCAAGTCCTAGGCTCTGTGGTTTAACCCACAGCGCCACCCGTGTCCAGCAGCCTAGAATAGCATTAGCTCTTTTTGCTGCTGCATCACACTGTCGACCCGTGTTAAGCTTCCAGTTTACTAAGACCCCTCGATCCTTTTCACTTTTTACGGTTAGCAAGCCAAATGTCTCTCATCTTATATTTGTGCAGTTGGCTATTCCTGCCAAAGTGCAGAACCTGACATTTGTCCCTTCTGCAATTCATTTTGTTAGATTTGGCCCAGTTCTCCAATCTTGTTAAATTCATTGTGAATCCCAAATCTATCTTCAGTGGCATTGGCTACCCCTCCCCATTTATCGTCATGTGCAAATTTGATTAGCATCCCCTCAATTCCTTCATCCAAATCATTTATAAAGACGTTAAACGACAACATGCCCAGGACAGAACCCTACTTGTCACTTTTTCCCAAGGATGACGAGGAAACATTCATGAGTCTTCTTTGGGTTTAGTCAGTCAACCAGCTACAAATCCCCCTAACAGTTACCTCGTTGCAACCACATTTTACCAGCTTCCTCGCGAGGATATTATGGGGGACTTTGTCGAAAGCCTTACTGAAATCAAGATAAACTACCGTATTTTTCACTCCATAAGACACACCTGACCACAAGATGCACCCAGTCTTTAGAGGAGGAAAACAAGAAAAAAACTATTCTGAACGAAACAGTGGATGTAAGATTTTTGTGGTTTATGCTGTGGCCACAGACATGTGATCGGATGGTGAATTTGGGGTGACCCAATGCAAAACTCCTGAGGATCCATGGGCTTTTACCACCCCCCTCCCAGGCAGCCTCCTTTATCTCTAGAGTCCCTTATCTCCCTTCCCGATCGCTTACTGATCAGCTGATTCCTTTCAACACTCCCTTCCCTCTGGTTTGCCTTAGTGTCTTTTCCTTTTTTGCTCCTCCTTTTCTTCTAATTTCTCTCCTCATTGCTTTGGTCTTCCTGTTTCCCCCCTTTGCAAGTTTGCTGTCTTTACCCCCCCCCCTCCCAGGCAGCCTCCTTTATCTCTAGCGTCCCTTATCTCTCTCCCCGATCGGCAATTCCGATCAGCGGCTTTATTTCAACACTCCCTTCCCTCTTTCAAAAAAGAAAGCATGATCTGCTTTTCGCCCCTGGGCAATTCGGCTCCAGGGACCACACATTCGCTCCATAAGACGCACAGACATTTCCCCTTACTTTTTAGGAAGAAAAAGGTGCGTCTTATGGAGCGAAAAAATACAGTACGTCCACAGCATCCCCCTGATCCACCAAGCTTGTAATTCCAGCAAATTATTTCTCCTTACCGTGCAGAATTCTGCAAGCGTCTTATCAGAGCGCCTCTTGTCGTTCCATCCCTTGACCTTTCCAGTTTCCCACCCCCAAAATCTCCAATATACTTGTTACGGCCAGTCAACCAGTGCACTGTGCACAGTTACCCTATAGATGTGGGTTTCGCCCTTGCTAAAATTCCACAAAGGTCTTTTCTGTGGCATGCCTGCACGACCCGTCTTGGAAGGAAGGGCAAGTGTGAAATCAAAGCACCTCCCCTCCACGCCCCCCCCAAAAAACCTTCCAAGCTGGCCGACTTGCTCAACTCCCCCCCCCCCGACTCCAAATACCACCCCCCAAAAAAATTAATAGACAATGACAAATGACAAAACGCCAGACACGTCGTGGTTGGTTTTCTGTTGTTTACAGGTTTACACATGGGCCCCCCACCACCACGGCCGGGGCAGGGCGGGGGTCCCCCAGCGCCGCCACGCTCCTCTTTTTTATTTTTTTTTACAAAAACCAGCCACGGATTAGGAGGAAACAAGGTCACGGCTGCGGCTGCCACGAATTCCTTGAAAGCACCACTGGGAAGGAGGATGTTGAATGGGGGGGGTGGGGGGTGGAAGTGAGGGAAATAAGAGGACACGAAAGGTTGCCACACTGCAGATTTGGGCCTGCCTCGGATCGGGGCCTCCCCTGCTTGCGAATAAAGGGGAGTAAGCATCTCTTGGGCGTGACAGAGAGGAAGAATTAGGAGTCTCTCTGCCTCCCCCCCCCCCTGCAAATTTCCTTCCGCTGCAAAAAGGTTAAGCTCAGCTCCTGGTCCCTGGATAAAGGGTGCTGCTGCCATGTCTGGAAACGGTTATGGGATGGCCTTGGCTCTCTTCCTCCCTCCCCCCCCCAAATTTTGCTTCTTGAGAGGAGAAGAGACAGCTGCACGCCTTGGACCCCTTCAACCCTAACAATAAGCCCCCAACCCTTTCTTTAAACCGAACCCAAGACAGGGCCACCCCCTCCAAAAAATAAGTGTGTTATACCGCTAGAGAAATCAGCCTCTTCCTCCTCCTCCTCCGTGCCGGAAATCTGGCTCGGTCGGGACATCATTTTAAAAACGAGAGCAGGGAAAAATAAAAAGGACGACAAAAAGTTGGGGGGGGGAGTGTTTGTGGGGTTCAAGGCCACAGGGCCCCCTTCAAGGCGGCAGGAGAGGAGGGGGAAGAGGCTGGATTATTGGGGGGGGAAAGGGGGGGACGTCAAGGGCTTTCCCTCCTGCTTTTCTCCCTCCCCACACCGTACCCCCCCCCAAGCCAGAGCAAGGGGACTCAGTTCCACACTTTCAAGAAGCTGTCCCAGGAGCCGGTGGCGATGGCCATTCCGTCGTCCGTCACGCCCAGGCAGCTGACGCGGTTGTCGTGGCCGGCGAGGACCCCTGAGGAAGGAAAGGGAGGAAGGAGGAATTGGTCGGGGCACCCAAAGGTCATCCAGCCCAGCCCCCCCCCTGCAGGAACCGGCAGCTGAAGAACCCGTGGCCGGGGGCCACCTATGTTTAAAAATGCTCCAATGGAGGAGAGTGTCTGCACCATGCAAGGGGGCGGAATAGCAGAGTTGGAAGGGACCTCGGAGGGTCATCTATCCCAACCCCCAGAGGAATGCAGGGGTCGCGGCTGAAACCTCGAGAGAAGAGGGAGGTGCGCACGCATGTTTCCTAGCATATGCACCTTCGGGTGAGAAACTCGCGGGAACAGCCATTACGGCTCAAATTCCACACGCAGGAAACTCCGAAAATATTTTTCGTTGGTGCTGTGATGGAAGGTTGCTTGGCAAAATAATAATAATAATAATTTATTATTTATACCCTGCCCATCTGGCTGGGCTTCCCCAGCCACTCTGGGCGGCTTCCAACAAAATATTATAATACAGTGATGCATCAAACATTAAAAGCTTCCCTAAAGAGGGCTGCCTTCAGATGTCTTCCAAAAGTCTGGGAGTTGTTGTTTCTCTTTGACATCTGGTGGGAGGGCGTTCCACAGGGCGGGCGCCACTACCGAGAAGGCCCTCTGCCTGGTTCCCTGTAACCTCACTTCTCGCAATGAGGGAACTGCCAGAAGGCCCTCGGAGCTGGACCTCAGTGTCCGGGCAGAATGATGGGGGTGGAGACGCTCCTTCAGGTCTACTGGGCCTTTGAGGCCGTTTAGGGCTTTCAAGGTCAGCACCAACACTTTGAATTGTGCTCGGAAACGTACTGGGAGCCAATGTAGGTCTTTCAGGACTGGTGTTATGTGGTCTCCCAGTCCCCAGTCTGGCTCCCGCATTCTGGATTAGTTGCAGTTTCTGGGTCACCTTCCAAGGCAGCCCCACATAGAGCACATTGCAGTAGTCCAAGCGGGAGATAACCAGAGCATGCACCACTCTGGCAAGTCAGTCTGCGGGCAGGGAGGGTCTCATCCTGCGTACCAGATGGAGCTGGTAGACAGCTGCCCTGGACACAGAACTGACTGCGCCTCCATGGACAGCTGTGAGTCCAGAATGACTCCCAGGCTGCGCACCTGGTCCTTCGGGGCACAGTTGCCCCATTCAGGACCAGGGAGTCCTCCACACCCGCCCATCTCCTGTCCCCCAGAAACAGTACTTCTGTCTTGTCAGGATTCAACCTCAATCGCCTCCCCTGCTTTCCAGGGATGAAGAGTCGGGGTACAGCAGCCTCTGGCCATCTGCCCACCCCACATTTCAGTGGCTTGGAGTACCACCAGTCCCTTCTGGACCTCCAGAGAGGTGTGCCAGTCTAAGTGAGGCTCACTGAGCCCAGAAAACTGCAAGCAGGATTCGAATGCAAGACCAGCACTCTCCCCTCTTGCCGTTTCCAGCAACTGTGGTCCAGAAGCATCGCTGCCTCTGACCGTGGAGGCAGATCGCAGCTGTTCTGGCCAGTTACCCATCGATCGCTCTCGCTTCCTCCATGAATTTGCCCCGTCCTCTCTTAAAGCCATCCGATTTGGTGGCCATCGCTGTGGCAGGGAGTTCCACAGCTCAACTGCGCAACGCATGAAGACATCCCTTCCGTTGCACGTCCCGAATTTTTACAACGCAGGTACTTCAAGACAGCCAGTAGGGGGCGGTAGTAATAATAATAAGAATGATTTTATTATTTATACCCTAGGTTGCCCCAGCCGTTCTGGGTAAAGCTGGAACGAGGCTCTCTTTTAAAAAACTGCCAGGATCAGGCCAGCGGCCTGCCTGGTCCCGCATCCTGTTCTCAGATGCCCGTTACGGGAAATCCGCGAGCAGGATCCGAGCGCAAGATCAGCTCTCCTCTCCTGTGGTTTCCAGAAACGGAGTTTTGGGAGCGTTTACCAGCTCTGAACGTTCCAGCTTGTCGATATCCGTCTTAAATTGGGGCGCCCAGAACCCGACACAGTATTCCAGGTGTGGAAACTACTGTTGACTTGCCTAGAATAGCATGAGCCTTTTTTGCTGTTGCTGCTGTATCACACTTGTGATTTTTGGGGAGGGAAAGGAGTTTTCCCCACCAGGGATGGCAGCCAGCTTCTTCTCGAAAGGGACTTCGCAGCGCTACTCACCCGCCCGGTCGCCCTTCATGGAGTCCCAGATGTTGCAGTTGAAGTCGTCGTAGCCGGCCAGGAGGAGGCGCCCGCTCCGCGAAAAGGCCACGGAGGTGATGCCGCAGATGATGTTGTCGTGAGAGTACATCATGAGCTCCTGGTCGGCCCGCAGGTCAAAGAGGCGGCAGGTGGCGTCGTCCGAGCCGGTGGTGAAGGCGTTCCCGTTGGGGAAGAACTGCGGGGGGGGGGAGAAAGGAAGGGGGCATCAGGAGGGGGGTAGGGATGGGAGAGGCCCCCGAAGCCTCGCTTCCTATGGCCCCCGGAGCCTCGCTTCTCATGCCTCCAGAGCCTCGCTTCCCGTGGCCCCCATAGCCTGATTCCCATGGCCCCCATAGCTCGCTTCCCATGGCCCCCGGATCCTCGCTTCCCATGGCCCCCGGAGCCTCGCTTCTCATGGCCCCCGGAGCCTCGCTTCCCATGGCCCCTGGAGCCTCGCTTCCCATGGCCCCTGGAGCCTCGCTTCCCATGGCCCTCGGAGCCTCGCTTCCTGTGGCCGCCAGAGCCAGCTTCCCATGGCTCCTGAACCTCGCTCCCCACGGCCCCCATAGCCTGCTTCTCATGGCCCCCAGAGCCTCGCTGCCCATGGCCCTCGGAGCCTCGCTTCCTGTGGCCCCCAGAGCCCGCTTCCCGTGGCTCCCGAACCTCGGTTCCCACGGCCCCCGGAGCCTCGCTTCCCATGGCCCCCATAGTTCGCTTCCCTCGGCCCCCGGAGCCCGCTTCCCACAGCCCCCGCAGCCCCGCTTCCCATGGCCCCCATAGTTTGCTTCCCATGGCCCCCGGAGCCTCGCTTCCCATGGCCCCCGGATCCTCGCTTCCCATGGCCCCCGGAGCCTCGCTTCCCATGGCCCTCGGAGCCTCGCTTCCTGTGGCCCCCAGAGCCAGCTTCCCATGGCTCCTGAACCTCGCTCCCCACAGCCCACGGAGCCTCGCTCCCCACGGCCCCCATAGCCTGCTTCTCATGGCCCCCAGAGCCTCGCTTCCCATGGCCCTCGGAGCCTCGCTTCCTGTGGCCCCCAGAGCCCGCTTCCCGTGGCTCCCGAACCTCGCTTCCCACGGCCCCCGGAGCCTCGCTTCCCATGGCCCCCATAGTTCACTTCCCTCGGCCCCCGGAGCCCGCTTCCCACAGCCCCCGCAGCCCCGCTTCCCATGGCCCCCATAGTTTGCTTCCCATGGCCCTGGATCCTCGCTTCCCATGGCCCCCGGAGCCCCCCTTTCCATGTCCTCAGGTCCCTTGGGCACCTCCTGCCACTGGACTGCACCAGCATTTGGTCATTAGAGGAACATTTTTAGCAACTAATGCCCCATATTTATTTCCTCATCCCTCCCTGTTCCCTTTTCCTTGTGTGTCCTGTCATTATTACTATTATTATTTTCTAGCCTGCAGGGGGCAGGAACCACCTTCTTTTCTGGGACCCTTTTCGGCTGGAGGGTGGGACACAAACAGCCACATTAACAGCCTTTCCCCACGTTTCTAAAGAACCTGACTGTTTCCGCATAGCGGCACCTACACCTGTGGAACTCCCTGCCTATTGAGATCAGGCAGGCGCCTTCATTATACGTGCGTAACATAATAATTAAAAATAAAATAAAATGCCCCCTTGTCCACAGACACCCATTTAAAAGGCCACAGGTTGTTTAAACAGGCTGGTTTAAGGGGAATGTTTTCGCCTGGCAACTATAGATATGTAAGGAAGTTGCCAGAGCAGCCCACGACTGGGGAGCCACCACCGAAAAGGCCCCGTCCTCATTCTGCCCCCCTCCGCGGCCGCCCCGGCACTCACGCAGACGGCGTTGATGTCGGACTCGTGCCCCGTGAAGGTCTGCCGGCACATGCTGTCCCGGATATCCCACAGCTTGATGGAGGCATCGCAGGCGCCCGAGACAAAGGTCCGCATGTCGGGGGCCAGAGAGAGCGACATGACGTCCCCGCTGTGGCCCGTGAAGGCGGTGGTCTGCTGGCCCGTCTCAATGTCCCACAGGGCGCTTTTTTGGGGGGAAGAGGAGGAGACGCAGAAATCAGAGGGCTGCGGGGATTCGCAAGGGACACCTAAAGGTCATCCATCCCAACCCCCTGGGGCGCCAGTCAGTTGGGGCACCCTGGCACTCTACTCACCACGTTGTGTCTCCGGAGCTGGTGATGATCTGGTTGTCGTTGAGAAACCGGCAGCAGGAGAGGTAGCCTTGGGAAGGAAAGAACGCAGCAGTTGCGGAGAGGGAAGTCTCGAGGGCCGCACCCCTCTCTGGGCAACATTTGGAGGGCCGCACCCCAGGGCTGGGCAGAGCCAGAGGCGAATACGGGCCGAGCAACACCTGTTGTTTTCCTTCTCTAACCCCCCTCTGCCCAACGCAATATTATTATTATTACCGTATTTTCCAGAGTATAAGACGACTGGGCATATAATAATAATAATAATAATAATAATAATAATAATAATAATAATAATATATTATTTATACCCCCTCCCATCTGGCTGAGTTTCCCCAGCCACTCTGGGCTGCTCCCAATCAAGTGTTAAAAACAATACAGCGTTAAATATTAAAAACTTCCCTAAACAGGGCTGCCTTCAGATGTCTTCTAATCAAATAGCTGTTTATTTCCTTCACATCTGGTGGGAGGGCGCCACCACCAAGAAGGCCCTGTGCCTGGTTCCCTTTAACATGGCTTCTTGCAGGGAGGGAACCGCCAGAAGGCCCTCAGAGCTGGACCTCAGTGTCCAGGTGGAGCGATGGGGGTGGAGACGCTCCTCCAGGGATACTGGGCCTTTGAGGCCGTTTTGGGCTTTCAAGGTCAGCACCAACAATTTGAATTGTGCTCGGAAACGTACTGGGAGCAAGTGTAGGTCTTTCAAGACTGGTGTTATATGGTCTCAGCGGCTGCTCCCAGTCCCCAGTCTGGCTGCCGCATTCTGGATTAGTTGTGGTTTCTGGGTCACCTTCAAAGGTAGCCCCACGTAGAGCGCATTGCAGTAGTCCAAGCGGGAGATAACCAGAGCATGCATTACTCTGGTGAGACAAGTCTGCGGGCAGGGAGGGTCTCATCCTGCGTCCCAGATGGAGCTGGTAGACAGCTGCCCTGGACACAGATTTAACCTGCCCCTCCATGGACAGCTGTGACTCCAGAATGACTCCCAGGCTGCGCACTTGGTTCCTTCAGGGGCACAGTTGCCCCATTCAGGACCAGGGAGTCCCCACACCTGCCTGCCTCCCTGTCCCCCCAAAACAGTACTTCTGCCTTGTCAGGATTCAACCTCAATCTGTTGGCCGCCATCCATCCTCCAACCGCCTCCAGACACTCACACAGGACCTTCACCGCCTTCAAAAATTGGGGTTGAAAGGTAGGGAGGAGGTAGAGGGAAAGCAAAATTAAGTACAGTGGTACCTTGGTTCTCCAACTCCGAAAACCCAGAACTAAGTGTTCCGGTTTTCAAATGTTTTTCGGAAGCCGAACGTCCAGTGTGGCTGTCAGCTATTTTTTTCCGGGGCGCCTGCACCAATCAGAAGCTGCGCCTTGGTTTTCGAACGTTTCAGAAGTCAAACGGACTTCCAGAACGCATTAAGTTTGGCGCTTTTGTTTTTGCTATTGGTTTTGCGTTTTTTAGGCTTTTCCGGTTAATTTGTTTTTTGTGACTGTGAGGAACCCAGTTCAGCTACTGATCGATTGTGTGACTGCGGAAACGGATAAAAGCCCCCATCCAAAGAATGGCTACCATCAGTGCAAGGAAGAAAAATAACAATTTTAATTTTTAGCATCTACAACACTGCCTTATTTATTTTATAATACACTACCTTGATTATCGCTTTCATTTTATGGCTCAACGGTCTCGTTAGATGGCAAAATTCATGATAAATTGCTGAGATAGTGGCCCCCGCCCTGCGGAATGCCCTCCCACCGGGTGTCAAAGAGGAAGAACAACTACCAGACTTTTAGAAGACATCTGAAGGCAGCCCTGTTTAGGGAAGCTTTTAATGTTTAATAGACCATTGTATTTTAATATTCTGTTGGAAGCCGCCCAGAGTGGCTGGGGAAACCCAGCCAGATGGGCGGGGTATAAATAAATAATTATTATTAAAAAATGCCCCCAGCTGCAATATCCGTGTATAAGACGAGCCCAGATTATGAACATTATTCTACAGTGAAAGAAACCATAGTCTTATACACAGAAAAGTACGGTAATCATTATTATCAGCAATTATCATTGTGAAATAATATATTCTCTTGGCTGGGCGGGGATCAATGTTGTTTATTTTCTTCACGAAATTTATGACGCTTTATATTTCTATTTATTATTATTATTATTATTATTATTATTATTATTATTACTTTAGGGGTTGTTTTTAAAAGCCTGGAACGGATTAATCCATTTTGCATTACTTTCTATGGGAAAGCACACCTTGGTTTTGGAACGCTTTGGTTTTGGAACGGACTTCTGGAACGGATCAAGTTTCAGAGCCCAGGTACCGGTGTAACCAGTTTGATTGGGCAAAGGAGGTGAGTGGGGGGCAAGGGCGTGGGGTTTGGGAGAGCCCCTCACCTGTGTGCCCGGGGAGTTCCCGGCTGACCCGGACGTTCCCTTCCCGGGTCTTGAGGCTGTAGATGGAGCAGATGTTGTCCAGGCCGCCACAGGCCACGTAATTCCCGGATGGGGCGTAGGCACAAGTCATCACCCACGACGACCTCAGAGGGATGGCGTGGACCTGCAGGAAGAAGGAAAACGGGGTGCGTGAATACAAAAAAACAGGGACCCCAACAGATCAGCATCACTGCTTCCTCCCTCCTTTTTAAGTACAGCGGTACATCAGGTTAAGGGACGTGGGTGGCGCTGTGGGTTAAACCACAGAGCCTAGGATCAGAAGGCCGGCAGTTCGAATCCCCATGATGGGGTGAGCTCCCATTGCTTGGTCCCTGCTCCTGCCAACCTAGCAGTTCAAAAGCATGTCAAAGTGCAAGTAGATAAATAGGTACCGCTCCGGCGGGAAGGTAAACGGCGTTTCTGTGTGCTGCTCTGGTTCGCCAGAAGCGGCTTAGTCCTGCTGGCCACATGACCCGGAAGCTGTCTGCAGACAAACACCAGCTCCCTCAGCCAGTAAAGCGAGATGAGCGCCGCAACCCCAGAGTCGGCCACGACTGGACCTAATGGTCAGGGGTCCCTTTACCTTTACCTCAGGTTAAGAACTTAATTCGTTCCAGAGGTCCGTTCTTAACCTGAAACTGTTCTTAACCTGAAGCACCACTTTAGCTAATGGGGCCTCCTGCTGCTGCCGCGCGCGCAATTTCTCTTCTCATCCTGAAGCAAAGTTCTTAACCCGAGGTACTATTTCCGGGTTAGCGGAGTCTGTAACCTGAAGCGTCTGTAACCTGAAGCATCTGTAACCCGAGGTACCACTGTACCGTATTTTTCCATGTATAAGATGCCCCCGTGTATAAGATGCCCCCTATTTTGGGGGACTCCAATTAAAGACCTACTCTGGCTCCCAGGACGCTTCCGATCACAATTCAGAGAATAATTGGGTGCCCTCTTCCCACCCTGGATCAAATCTATGCTTCCAGGTGCCATAAGAAAGCTGCAGAGATAGCGCAGGATAGTGCGCACCCCGGAAATGATCTCTTTCAAGCTTCTGCCTTCTGGAAGAAGGTCCAGGGTTATAAAGACCAGGACTAGCCGCCTGAGAAACAGTTTCTATCCAAATGCGATTTTGGTTTTAAATGCAGTGTAAGGTATTCTCTATGGGAGCATATTGTAGTTTAAAATGGGGTTTCAGAGTTTTTAGGGGTTTTTGAATGTCTGATGTAGATTTTTCAATTTCATTTTTCTGTATGGGGCAATGACAATGAAGATATCGTATCGTAAAGTGTTGGTGCTGACCTTGAAAGCCCTAAACGGCCTCAAAGGCCCAGTAGACCTGAAGGAGCGTCTCCACCCCCATCGTTCTGCCCGGACACTGAGGTCCAGCTCCGAGGGCCTTCTGGTGGTTCCCTCCCTGCGAGAAGCCAAGGTTACAGGGAACCAGGCAGAGGGCCTTCTCAGTGGTGGCGCCCGCCCTATGGAACGCCCTCCCACCAGATGTCAAGGAAATAAACAACTACCATATTTTTAGAAGGCATCTGAAGGCAGCCCTGTTTAGGGAAGCTTTTAATGTTTAATAAATTATTGTATTTTTATGTTTTGTTGAAAGCCACCCAGAGTGGCTGGGGAAACCCAGCCAGATGGGCGGGGTATAAATAATAAATTATTATTATAAAGAAACCCCTCCAGCTGCATTATCTGTGTATAAGACAAGCCCATATTATGAACGTTATTCTGCAGTGAAAGAAACCATAGTCTTATACACAGAAAAGTACGGTAATCATTATTATCAGCAATTATCATTGTGAAATATTATATTCTCTTGGCTGGCGCGGCGGCAAAGTTGTTTATTTACTTCACGAAATTTACACTTTTTAAAAAACTTCATGAAATTTATGCTTTTTAAAAAACTGCACTTCAAAGCAGTACGAAAAAGGATACAGCAAATATAGGGATCGCTAAGGAAAAACAGCAGCAGCGGCAACATTAAAAGTCTGCAAAAAATTAAACCAGCCACAGAGCGGCTTAAAGTCGTATTGGTTTTTCTAAATGTCTGGGGACAGGCCTGCCTAAACTCGAAATGCTTTTTCGTGACGCTGGAATTTGCGGACACCCAAGGAAGTCAATTGTTGGAAGATTCGAGGCCGATAAAAGGAAGTCCGCCTTAAGACTGTTAAACTGTGGAACTCACCGCCACATGAGGGGCCACTAACCTGGGTTGGACCGATTCAGAGGGCTGCAGCCATGAGGACCAGTTTCTGGGTGCCACACGATCCCGCTTGACACTGGGAGAACAGGATTATGGGCTGGATTGGACCCACCCCCCACTCCGCTTTGGCCTGATTCTTCTCACGGTCTTATTTACGAAATGTATCGGTTGCTTTTTTAAAATTTTACAAAGGCAACTCGAAACGACTTACGCTATACGGTGGTACCTCTGGTTGCGGACGCGATCCGTTCCGGGGTGCCGTTCGCACCCTGAAAAGTCCCTAACCAGAGCGGCACTTCTGTGCATGTGCAAAGCGTGACAGATCGCTTCCGCGCATGTGCGAACTGCGCAGAACGCTTCTGCGAGTGCGGTAAAACCCGGAAGTAAAGATTTCTGGGTTTGCTGCGTTCCTAACCCGAAAAAACCCAACACGAAGCGTTCGCAAGAAGAGGTATGGCTGTATTAACAAATAAACCGATGCGTTTTAAAACCGTTGGAAGCGAAAGAGAAATTTAGGTTCCAAACAGGCAGGACTTGGACGCAAACACCCCGCTCACACACAAAATGGGCCCCCGGATAAGCAGAGTCCTGATGGGAAAAAAGCACCTAGAGATATGCAAAACGAAGGAGAGCTTGCTGCAAGCGGGGAGCCACCACCAAAAAGGCCCCGCTCTCATACGGCCACCCTCCAGGCGCTGAGAAGGGCCCTGGGTGACGCTCGCAGGGTCCCCTGGGGCCAAATAACGGGGCCCGCTGACCGCCGCACAGGCCTTACCTTGTTTGTGGTGTAGCTGTCCCAAATGATCAGTTTTCCGTCTTGGGAGGCACTAACCAACAGCCTGTAGAGGTGGAAAGAGGAAGAACGGAGGAGGCGTGAGATTGGGTGGAACTCAGGGTGAGATAGAGGGTCTTTCCGAGTCGCTCGGGGACAAGAGGAGACCCAAAGCCCTTTCCTCTTCTGCATGCCCAACACAGGGAGATGGGACCAAGCCCATTGGCATCCATTGAGCTTAGTGTTGTCCACACGGGCCGGCAGCTGCAGCCGCCCAGGTGAGTGGGGTCTCACCCAGCCCTGCCAGTAGATGATACAGGAATTCAAACCTGGCTCCTTTTGCATTGCAGGGGGTGGGACTCAGGTGGATTTGATTTAAATCAAATTGATTTAAATCCCGATAAAAATCGCTAGTCAGTAAGACTTGATTTAAATCATTTTTTTAAACAGAAATACTCATTCCTGCTGGTATAATCTTAATATTTACAACCAGATGGAGGTTTCATTTTTGGAATAAAAAAAAATTCAGAGTAGTTTTTATACTCTTAGAAAGACACAATCAGATAATGATGGAATTATTGTGAGGTTTAGTAAGTGAACTGTTTATATTTGGGCAACTTTTCTGCTGTACTTCAGTGGAAGGAGAAAAAATAATCATTTCCTCAGTAACAATTTAAATGATATATTTAACTAAAGCAACAACATTATGGCATATGTATCCATGTTCGTTGATGTTGTTAAACAATTAAAAAAGCACATGAAAGACTGAGTTTTAGCATATGTAAAAAACTTAAAATAAATCCTTATTTCCTGACGAACAGCCTTTGGACTATAATGCAAATTAAATAGAAAACTACATTTAGAAAGACTTTTTCTCTCCAAAAGCATTTTATTTTAAAAATCCAATTGAAATAAAAATAAATAAATCTGATTTAAAATTTAAAAATCCAATTTAAATTTTAAAAATCCAATTTAAATTTTAAAAATCCAATTTAAATTTAAAAGAAACATTGATTTTTATCCACCCTGCTTGGACTAGTTGGCCTTTGGGGGTCCCGTCCAATCCCACAATTCCAAGGGGCAGCTGCCGCCGCCTCCGCCCTTCGCTCTCACCTGGAGTCTGTCCCCCAGTGCATGGCATAGATCTTCGCCAGGTGACCCCGTAATGTGCGCCTCGTCCGCATCTGGATCCGGCCCACCGGATCGAGGCCAGCTGTGATCTGGGGGTGGGGAGAAAAAGAGAGGGGGGTGTCAAAAGACGAAAGGCCCCCCCCCAGAGAGGAGGAACACCTCTCCGCAACGCACACAACCTCCAGAGACCCTCGCCTGCTTCTTCCAAAAGCATCTCAAAGTGGGGGGAGGAATTAATAATAATAATATATTTTATTTATTTATTTAATAAATTTACATTATTTATTTATACCCCGCCCTTCCCGGTTCAGGGCGGCTAACAACAAATTTAAAACACTTAATTGATGCAACAAAAAAACAGCATAAAATACAGTATAAAACGGGAATAACAATAAATTCAGAATTCAAAAATCAATTTAGGGGGGAAATCCATCCCATAAACATTAGATGATCACCAGGGCTGGCTGGCTAAATTGGTCCTATTTGGGCCAGCGAGGAGACCAGGGGAGAATTAGCTGTGGGGTCTCAGAGCGGGTAAAAGAGGGAAGGAAGGGAAATAAAAGATGAGGCTGAATTCAAATTGAAAGCCAGGTGGAACAGCTCTGTCTTACAGGCCGATGGAAGGTTAAACCCTGCAGGGCCCTGGTCTCCTGGGACAGAGCATTCCACCAGGTAGAAGCCACCACTGAGAAGGCCCTGGCCCTGGGGGAGGATAGTCTGACTTCCTTAGGGCCCTCTAAACTGTGATTATTCATGGACCGTAAGGTCCTCTGTGGGGCAGACCAGGAGAGGCCGCCCCATAGATACGAGGGCCCTAAGCCACAAAGGGCTTTAAAGGTCAAAACCACTACCTTGAACCTGACCCTGTACTCCACCGGGAGCCAGTGCAACTGGTAAAGCACTGGGTGAATGTGATCCCAGGGCAAGGACCCCGTAAGGAACCTCGCTGCAGCATTCTGCACCCGCTGGAGTTTCTGGGACAGCTTCAAGGGCAGCCCCGCATAGAGTCAAGCCTGGAGGTGCCCGTCGCATGGGGCAAAATATATTCAAGGGGTTTCTTTCGCCTCACCTGGGTCAGCGTGGAGTCCCCACATGCTTTCCTGGCGTCCTGCAGGAAGGGAGAAGAGAGCAGGGGTGAGTGCAAATAATAATAATAATAATAATAATAATAATAATAATAATAATAATTTATACCCCGCCCATCTGGCTGAGTTTCCCCAGCCACTCTGGGCGGCTCCCAATCAAGTGTTAAAAACAATACAGCTTTAAATGTTAAAAACTTCCCTGAACAGGGCTGCCTTCAGATGTCTTTTAAAGATAGGATAGCTACTTATTTCCTTCACATCTGAAGGAAGGGAGTTCCACAGGGCAGGCACCACCACCAAGAAGGCCCTCTGCCTGGTTCCCTGTAACCTCCCTTCTCGCAATGAGGGAACCGCCAGGAGGCCCTCGGCGCTGGATCTCAAGTGTCTCAACCCCGCAAAGTCTCCATCCCCGGAAAAAAAGAGAAATGTTGAGCCCTGCACCTCAATGAGGGCTAGAAACTTGGCTGGCGCTGCCAACTGCAGCCACTCACCCTGATCTGGTTGCGCAGCTGTTCCGCCTCCTGCCTCAACTGCTCCAGTTCGCTCATGGTGGAGTTGGGCGCGGGGGGCCCTGCCAGCAGCCCCTCTCAGCCGGCCGCAATCCTGTTTAATGGGGGGCAAAGAGGTGGTTGCATTAATTTGTTTGTTGCGAAGCAAGCGCAGGGGGGAATGAACAAATTCCTACGCCCCACAAATAACCCAGAGATGCATTTTAAATAAAAGGACACATTCTACTCATGTAAAAACACGCTGATTCCCGGACCGTCCGCGGACCGGATTGAGAAGGCGATTGGGCCGGATCCGGCCCCCGGGTCTTAGGTGACCTACCCTTGCCCTATACAGCTTCAGGGGGTCTTCAAAAATATCGCCATGAGCGATCCTGCGCTTAGCGAGAGAGGACCTCGCTGCAGGTAAGCCTGTCATGAGCAGGTCCGTTCTGTACAATTTTTAGGAGCCCGGAAGGACCTAGCCTTTGGAACTGCCTGCCACTGCAGGGCTACTAGCCAAGAGGGCTGGGGCTCTGCCTCTCTGGCTGGAGGCAGGAAAATGTTCCTGGGTTCCAGTTGGGGTTGTGCTAGATGACCATGAGGACCCCAATAATAATAATAATAATAATTTATTTATACCCCACCCATCTGGCTGGGTTTCCCCAGCCATTGCAGGACTATGCAGAATTAGACAAACTGACAGGAAGGATTGAAACCTGCGGGACCAGAGATTCTTAAGAGGACTGGAGTAAATATCTGAATTACCTGAAAAGCAATTGTAATAAACAGATTGCGCTAGCAGGACTGCAAGAAGTTCTTTAAGGAGGATTACGCGGAATATGGCAAGGAAGATCACGAAGAGGATGTTAGTTAAGAATAATTAAAAGTAATAAGAGAAATTAAGAAATGATAAAAGAATGGAAAATCTTCAGAGGTAATTGAATATTTTATAAAATAAAAATGTACGTTAAATGACTTCTGGAAAGTATATGTTCAAAAAATTAATAAAAATGTATATTAAAAAGAAGAAGAAGCCATTGCAAGGGGGCCTGCTAACTCCCCCCCCACCATTGCCCTCCACCCAATATTTGCTTTGGAGGATAGAGAGCCCCCCCAAAAAATAATGCAAGGTGGGGGGCAAAACAGAGGTGGCTTTGCTCCTCCCGGAAAGCAGAAAACGCCCCCCCAAAAAACCCAAAAATGGTGCGCAGGGAGGGGGTCTCTCTCCCCCCCCCTCGGGAAAGCCAAATAAAAGAGAGGGTCCCGTGTCGTCACCATGGCAACCGGACCCCCACCGCAAAGGCATAAAACAGAAGAGCAGCATCTTTAAACTCCAGCTGGCGGTTGCCGTGGCGATGGGATGTGGGGGAAAAAAGCCCAGAGACCAAGATGGATTTGCAGCAGCTGAGCTCCCAAATTCCCAATAAATAAATGGGGGGGGGGCGGGAAAACGGGTGCGCTGGCTCAGAGGTGCCCCCACGGCGTGGCACAGAGAGATGTGGGGCGATGATGGTTTTCCACACCAGGGCAGAGATCCGCGGCTTATACGCCTTAATCTCCAATCTCATTTGCTTCGTTAGAGAAAGTGCATTAGGCAAAATAAACAAACAGGCGAGCCGAGCCAAATCTCCCGGCAAGTGCAAACGAGATTACAGAGGGATTACGGAGGAGGATGAGTTCAACGCAGCCTGGAAAACTACGTTTCCCCCTGCACAGGGCGGTACGTTACTGGGCAGCGAGATGGGGGAAGCAAGGCGTTTCGTGGGTTAAAGGCAGAGGGGAAGCCGGACTCCTGGGTTCCTCGGATCAGGAGAAAGGGACTTGGGAACATCCCGGGCGCTGAGCCAAGCCACGGTGCCCTCCTGGGCGCGATCAAAAGCCCTCTCCTGGCGCTTTGCAGCACAAAGCCAGGCGCCCGGTCGGGGTCCGGCGAGGACGCCTGATTTTCGGACCCCCTATTGAGGGTGGATCAGGAGAAGGCGGGTGCGCAGGGCTCTGATCTCCCCGGCAGAAGCTTGTAAGATCTCAGCAAGAACAACACATCCCTTCCAACCTGTTTGATTTTTCTGTTTAAAAAACCGGGCGCCGCCCCAGACTACAACTCCCACCAGCCCTGACTGCATGAGGCCGACGGCCCCTGAAGCCCCACATCGCACAGTGGCTGACCAGATACTCGCAATGGGAAATCCCACCCCCCAGAAGGATCCGAGTGCGAGAGCATCACTCTCCCCTCTCGCTGGGGAGTCGCAGGTAGACTGCCCCAGGGCGTGGAGGTTCTGCTTATGGCAACAGACTCCCCAAAGGCCCACCTAGTCTGCCCGCATCCTGTCATCGGAGCGGCCAGGCAAACGCCCCAAAGGGAGGCCCGTAAACAGGACTCGAACACAAGACCGCAGTTTTCAGAAGCCTTACGGCCTCCGATTGCGAAGGCAGAGAACAGCCGTTCTGGCTAGCAGCTGTCAACAGACCTCTCCTCAAAGGTGAATTTGTCCAATCTTGCAGCAGGGAGTTCCACAGATTCGCCAGGTGACGACGACAACAACTTCTTGGCTTGCAAACCAAAACAACGCCTTATCCATGAGTTAAAGGTAAAGGGACCCCTGACCATTAGGTCCAGTCGTGGCCAACTCTGGGGTTGCGGTGCTCATCTCGCTTTACTGGCCGAGGGAGCCGGCGTACAGCTTCCGGGTCATGTGGCCAGCAGGACTGAGCCGCTTCTGGCGAACCAGAGCAGCGCACGGAAACGCCGTTTACCTTCCCGCCGGAGTGGTACCTATTTATCTACTTGCAATTTGACTTGCTTTCGAACTGCTAGGTTGGCAGGAGCAGGGACCGAGCAACGGGAGCTCACCCCGTCGTGGGGATTTGAACTGCTGACCTTCTGATCGGCAAGTCCTAGGCTCTGTGGTTTAACCCACAGCGCCACCTGCATCCCCTTTATCCGTGAGTTAGGCATTCCCAATTGTGGGGCGGCGTTGCCCTTCCTTATCGTCCATTATGATTTATTTAATTCCCACCCTCTTAAGGTCCCCAGGTCAGGTTACGGCGTTAAAGCGCAACATTGGAAACAGTTCGCCGGAAGTTGTGCAATGAGGCTCTCTGGGGAGGGAGTATCACAGCTCAGGGGCCACCACTGAGAAGGCCCTGTCCTCTCCCCCTAATTTCTGAAGGGGGGAAAAGGAACTACCAAGAGGGCCCCCTCCGCTGATCTCAGCACCCAAGAGGGCCTGTAGGGAAGGAGGCGGCCTCCGATAGGGCTTTGTCGAACCCCCTGGATCAGGCCCAGAAACAAACTGGCAGCCAGCGCAGCTGTTTTAGAACAGGGGGCGTTATATGAGATCTTAAAAGGGAATCCCGGCCAGGAATCCAGCTGCCGCATTTTGGATGTTTCCGAGTCGTCTTCAAGGGCGGCCCCAGGCTGAGCGCTTTGCAGTAGTCCAGCCTGGAAGTTACCGGCGCATGTGGTACACCAGCCAGCCAAAAATGCAGCGCTGAAGGGCATTGAATCCACATTCAGCGACCCCGAAAAGGTGTGTTTGCTTCACTCCGCACACACAATCAGGCCGATCTGGGATATACAGACACGGGGTTGGACTAGATGACCCTCGCGGGTCCCTTTACAGCTCTACGGTTCTCAGCTTCGCTCACAAGCGCGCAACGGAAGAGGGCAAGCCGGCCAATTCAGTGGTCTCCACTAAGTGCCCTTTGTTATTTGAGATCGGCACTTAATTTGCACGAATTCTAGACGCCAGAAAAAGCACACAAGGACAGAGGAATGCCGGGAGCATCCTGCTGAAATATTTCAAGATCCGCAGAGGGGCGGAAATCTGGAAATCTGCCCTCCAGGACCCCCTGCCGCCTTTAAAGGCTTTCCTCCGGGCCTTGAGGACTAGGAACCTGCTAAGTCTTGCAGCGGAAAATAAAAGGGGGTCTCTTCTTGGTCTTCCAAGAACTGTGACTTTCAGGAAAAGCTTACATGGACCCTGCAGCCCCATGCGCATCTCTTGGGGACATCAATATCGATTCCGGTTATATATAGTTTTTGCAGCGCCCTTGGGTGTCCCACTCTGATACACCCACCTGAAGGGCGTCCGAGGGGAAAGGCGCCTGGAAAAAGCACCCCGCTGTTTCCTCGCCCCAAAAGGCACGTCAAAACCATCAGCTGAGCAAGCTAACTATTCCTGGGCGCATCATTTAAAGGCAGGACTCCTGGGTTCCACCCTCGACTCGGAGAGCGAGGGGTATTGGGCTCAGAAACAGGACACCCAAGTTTTACGGAGGGATACTTAAAATGCAAAGCGTAATAATATCTGGGGAAGAAGAGGGGAAGCAGCGTAGAATTGTAGGGTTGGGGACACCCAGCGGTCATCCATCCCAACCCGCTGCTGCGACCCCAGCTGAGGATTCCCTGCCAGGCCTGTTTCACAACCTCCAATGAAGGACAGTCCACCACCTTCCAAAGTTCAAAATTAAGAAGGGGGGGTCTTAATTTTCTACAAAAGCCTCAAGGGGAGTTTTTTGGGGGGGGATTGGGGGGGGGTCCAGGCATCCCGCCGCCTCCCAACACTTATTCCCACCCCTCTCTCTGCGACGCCATCCCCTGCTGCCACCAAAACAGCAGTGCTACATCAGACTCTACTTTCCCTTCCTCAGATCTGTAAAATGGGAACAGCGAGAAACCACACGACGGTTTTTAAAGGAAAAGCAACACCACCGTGAGGTTTTTTTGTTTTGCTAGCGGGAGGTATTAAAATGTAAACAAAGCAAAATATAAATACTAGGGGGAGGGGGATAAAATGGGTGTTGGCTGTGCCAGATCAGACCTCAGCAAGCCCCCCAAAGCCCCCTCACCCTTCTTATTGTGTTGATATCCCACCTCTCCCTCAAGGTGGCACGTAGCCCCCTCCTCATTTAATCCCCACAACAACCCTGGAAGGTAGCTTAGGCTGAGAGAGGCAGCAACTGCCCCCCAAGGTCAGACAGGGAGCTAAGAAGCCGAGTGGAGAGATTCGAACCCGGTTCTCCCCAGTCCTAGTCCCGGCACTCTAACCACTATGCCCCACTGTTTTTTGTGGGGAAGAGCTGAGGCCGTCCGCCAACTCCAGGACTCCAAACAGCCCCACTGTCAAGGGAAGAGGGCGGGCCTTGCTGGGCCTATTTAGCGGTAATTAAAGGTCCCCAGACAAGTTCATTAAGCGGAGAGGGCCTTGGGGAAGCCGCCAGCTGTACCTTACAGGAGACGAGAGGAGCTCTCAGGCGAGGGACCCAGGAGTCCGAGGGACCCAGGAGTCCTGCCTCCGCTTGGCAGCAAGCCTGCCCCATACCCAACAGGCACCCAGTTCCTCTTCCGAAGAACCCAGGCGTCCGGGGCCCCACCAAATATCCGGCTCAGATCCTTTGAACGCACACACAAACACACCTGCTATATCCAAAGAACCCAGGTGTCCTGACCCCCATCTCCCCATAGATTCTCTCTCTCTAGGCCCCACATCTGTCCAGAGAACCCAGGCGTCCTGTGCCCCCCCCAATTTTCTCTCTGGGTAGGCCCCACATCCTTTGTGGAGAACCCAGGAGTCCGGCAGGGGGGGACACACATCTCTGCTGGCTACCCTATATATTTTAAGGGGGGGGGAGAAGAATAGAGAGAACAGACCCCCCCCAAAAAGTGTGGTCTACACAGCAAGGTTGTGGGGTGGATCCTGTCTCTTGCTGGGGAAATGAATTAATCCCGGGCTTCCTCCATTTGGAAGACCCTGTTGCAAAATTGGGGGGGGGAGAGAAAGAGGCCTAAAAATGGGGCGATGGGGGGGGCTGTTTGACTAGGAAGGCTCCTTGGGCGATGGGGAAGTCTTTTAAAGGGCACATTTTTGGCAGAGGGGGCAGAAAATTTGGGGGGGAGGGAACAAGACCACCAAGTGTGGGGTGAGGGGGGGCTACTGCTGCTGCACAGAGGGGGGGGAGGTTGCTATGGGGCGTGGGAAAAAAGGGCAGGAGGTTGCAGGATTGGATTCCTGGGGGGGGGCGGTTGCTAAGGAAGGGGGAGGGAGAAAAAAAGGATCTTGGAGGGGGGGAGAGACATGGGGGGGGGCAAGGAGCTTGCAATAAACCAAGGGGGGGAGTGAAGGGCTTTGGGGCTGGGGCTGCTCTTTGCAAAGGAGTGGGCGTTGCTATGGGGCAGCTAGAGGGGGGGTTGCATGTGCAATGGAGGGGGGCCGTTGCTATGGGGCGAGGAGCCTTCAAGGGGGGGAGAGAGATTAAAAACCACAGGCAGGAATTGTTATGGGGGGGAGGGAGGGAAGGAGGTTATGGGGCGGAAGAAAAAGGACCCTCCCCCCATTTTCAACCACCCCCGCCCCCCTTTCCCCCCTGGCCCCACATACCTGCTGCTGCAGCAGCCCCGCCGCCGCCTTGCTGGGGGGGGCAAGGGGGGAGGAGGAGGGGTGGGGGTAGGGACTCGTTTCCGCTGCTGCTGCTGCTGCTGTTCCTCCAGCGGCGGAAGGATCGCGCTGTGGCGGCGCCTGTTTTCGCCTCTTCCTCGCCAGGCGCAGCGGCGGCTTCAGCTTCAGCGGAGGAGGCGGCGGCCGGGACTCGTTCCCCGAGCGCGCGGAGCGATCCCGCCCCACCCAGCCCCGGTGATGCGGCCGCCGCGCCCAGAGCCGGACGCGAGCGAGGGAGATACCAAGTGGCGCCCACTCGCGGAGGGGGGGCGCCGGGAGGGGGAAAGGAAGAGGGGAGGCAGGGGGGAGCCAACCGAAGTGGGGTTCAGAAGAAAAAGACCCTAAATAAGAAAGGGAGTGAATATGGACCTTTCCTTTCTATGAAAGTTTCTTTTTTAAAAAAGAGTGGGACGTACCAAGTGGGGTCGCCTGGGAGAGGCCAGTGTTGGGAGAGGGGGGTATCCGGGAAAGACCAAGTGACCTTTTTCTGGGGGGGAGGCAAAAACTCCACCCTGGTTTTGTTGCTTTGTTTTTTAAGTAAAGGGGGATTTCTTGTTTAAGGACATTTTTATTTTTCTGGTGGGGAGGGTATGTTTCCTCCCAGCCCAGGAGGGGATGAGTGGGGATTGGGTTATACCAAGTTTCTGGAAGGTGCTCCCCCCTCCTCCATGCCCTTCACAAAAATTATTATTAATTGCAGAGAGGAAATGCTAATTTCAGTCTTAGCCATCAACTTCGGTCAAAGGGGGGGGGGGAGGAGGGGGGGGTTTGGTGGCGGGGGTGAGTCATTTCTTTAGGGAAGCAGCACCACCCAGAATGGGAGGCGGAGATGGTACAGTCCAAACCACACACACTCAGTAACCTTTGCACAATTGTGTTGCACAAGCGCCCCAGCTCTCTCTCTCCCCCCTCCTGCTCCTTCCTCCTGCTCTAAATAACTCTGGTCACTGCCAGCGCCTTCCCCTTGCACAAAAAAGCAGTCAAGCAGACATTTTTTCCTTTAACCTCCCTGCTCCCAAAAAAAAGGACCCAGGTGTCCGGGAATCTGCGGGCTCTGAGCCTTTAAAAGCAGCAATCAACGGGTGCAGCTTGAATTCTGGCCCCATCTGTTGAATTTCTGCCTGCCAGGGCAGTGTTGAGAGGCTCAAGAGCCCTGCTAGACATTATTATTATTAATTATTATTATTATTATTATTATTATTATTATTATTATTATTATTATTATTATTTCTCTTAGACTCAGAGGAGCCAGGAATCCTGACCAGCTGATAAGAGGCAGAAACTTGAATTTTTCCTCTGCCTGAGGAAGGAAAAAACATCATCGAGGGGGTGACAAAAGAGGAAATTCGTGTGGGTGGGAGAGAGAGAGAGGAAATCCCCTTCCATCTCTTAAAGCTGTGGTTTGGAAAGGCTGAAAAGCACTGTGGGAGGTGAAGAGAAAGCAGACCTTTTGAGGGGCTGGTTTGGAGCCCAAAAGCGCCTACAGGGCAGGCAGAAAATCAACAGGAAGGGGCTTCCAGTCCAGGATAAAACGGACACCTGTTAGATTGCCTGCCTGTTCTCCAGCTCATAAGAGAGTCTCTTGTGCCCTCAAATGTCAAAATCCACAGCTGCATTGGGAAGGATGCACCTGCCGGATTTCTGCCCGTTGTTCAGCTCCTGAAAACGCCAGGACCCCTGTCAGGAAAACAAAATAATAGTAATCTTTTTTTTTAAAGGAGAAAAACAACAATTGAAGCCCTGGGGGAGGGAAAACTAAAGGGCAAAGGGGAACTTGCAGAAGAAGACCCCTGAATTTTCAGACAAATTTGGGGTTAAAAAGTACCCTGCTTTTTATTATGGGAGAGAGAGTGTTTCGAAAGATGGGGTGCAATAAAAGCAGGCTTAGCTACTGCTTTTGATTCCCAATAAAAGCATTCAAATCATACGAGTTGGAAGGGGCCATCAAGTCGTCCTCCCCCCACAATACAGTGGTACCTTGGGTTACATACGCTTCAGGTTACAGACTCCGCTAACTCAGAAATAGTGCTTCAGGTTAAGAACTTTGCTTCAGGATGAGAACAGAAATCATGCTCCGGCGGCGCAGCAGCAGCAGGAGGCCCCATTAGCTAAAGTGGTGCTTCAGGTTAAGAACAGTTTCAGGTTAAGAACGGACCTCCAGAACGAATTAAGTACTTAACCCGAGGTACCACTGTACAAGAATCTCAACACATGACCCCCCCCCACCCAATTTGAAACCACACCAGACACTGTTTAGATTTGCAAATGTGCTAGCAGTTTTATTGCTGCCCCACTGGGAGCTATTCAACAGGGGAGCTCAGTGGCATAGCGTCATTTGCTGGTGCCCGGGGCGGTGAACAGCAGCCATGCAGTGGGAGCCCGGCCAGCCAACACGGCCCTTGGCGGGCACACACCCCACCACGCTGCCCAGGTGGTGATTCGCCCAGGGGCCCAGTGGCAAGGTCAGGCCAGGCTCTGGGGCCCAGAGATCCCCAGCGGCAGGCAGGGAAGGGACCCCTGTGTGCTCACGCCCCCTCAAAATTATGCGCCCAGGTCTACAGCCCCACTAGCTCTCCCCACGCTATGCCCGCCCCCCGCTCCCAACTCCCAATTCAAGAAAATATCTGAAAGAGATGTTGTATGGGTGATTTCAACTACCACCCCATAGACTACGCATTTCGGTCATAACCAAGGGGGACATAGATCGCCAGGAACTAATCTCAGCTGCGGAAAAAACATGTTCCCCTCTTTATTTTCGACTCTCTTGGGCGCAGGAATTTAACCTTACTTGTGAATCCCAATCGGGAATTAAGTATGCCGGAAGAAATATCAACAACCTCAGATATGCAGATGACACAACCTTGATGGCAGAAAGTGAGGAAGAGTTAAAGAACCTTTTATTGAGGGTGAAAGAGGAGAGCGCAAAATATGGTCTGAAGCTCAACATCAAAAAAATGAAGATCGTGGCCACTGGGCCCATCACCTCCTGGCAAATAGAAGGGGAAGAAATGGAGGCAGTGAGAGATTTTATTTTCTTGGGCTCCATGATCACTGCAGATGGTGACAGCAGTCACGAAATTAAAAGACGCCTGCTTCTTGGGAGAAGGGCAATGACAGGCCTAGACAGCATCTTAAAAAGCAGAGACATCACCTTGCTAACAAAGGGTTAAAGCTCTGGTTTTCCCAGTAGTGATGGATGGAAGTGAGAGCTGGACCATAAAGAAGGCTGATCGCCAAAGAATGGATGCTTTTGAATTATGGTGCTGGAGGAGACTCTGGAGAGTCCCATGGACTGCAAGAAGATCCAACCTCTCCATTCTGAAGGAAATCAGCCCTGAGTGCTCACTGGAAGGACAGATCCTGAAGCTGAGGCTCCAAGACTTTGGCCAACTCCTGAGAAGAGAAGACTCCCTGGAAAAGACCCTGATGTTGGGAAAGATGGAGGGCGCAAGGAGAAGGGGACGACGGAGGACGAGATGGTGGGACAGTGTTCTCGAAGAGACCAGCATGAGTTTGACCAAACTGGGGGAGGCAGTGGAAGACAGAAGTGCCTGGCGTGCTCTGGTCCAGGGGGTCACGAAGAGGCGGCCACGACTAAATGACTAAACAACAACAATTTACAATTTTTGTTTAACCTGCAAGAAAGAAGGGCTTTTTTGCTGGCTAGGTTCAATTCTAATCTTTCTAACCTCCTTTGGGATAGGTTTGCAGGTATGGCAGAAGGAGACAGGATCTGCCCATGTGATGCCCACCTGGTAGAAACTCTAGCTCACATGGCACTTAAATCAAAAATGTATGCTGATCTCCGCCAACAATTTTTAGACCATCTACGTACAGTGGTACCTCGGGTTAAGTACTTAATTCATTCCGGAGGTCCGTTATTAACCTGAAACTGTTCTTAACCTGAAGCACCACTTTAGCTAATGGGGCCTCCTGCTGCTGCCGCGCTGCTGGAGCACGATTTCTGTTCTCATCCTGAAGCAAAGTTGTTAACCCAAGGTACTATTTCTGGGTTAGCAGAGTCTGTAACCTGAAGCGTCTGTAACCTGAAGCATCTGTAACCTGAAGCGTCTGTAACCTGAGGTACCACTGTATTCCAACATGGAAACCAGAGACAGAGGTTATATGCTTCTTATTACAGGGGAGAGACCAGGAGCTCACCAAGACAGTAACTAATTTCCTCTATTTGATTTTTTTTGTCGCCGAAATACGCTACAGGATCCTGCCCTTACTGGAGACCCACAGAGATGAAATAGATTGCTCGCCTCTTCTTCCCTTTGGCAAATGACTGTACTGTTGAAATGGCGCTGAGATCGCACTGGCTTATTTATTATGAATGTTTGTATGTGATGCCAATAAAAGTTTGATGATGATAAATAAATGCCCTAAATGGCTGTGCCCTAGAAGAGCTGTTTGTGGAACTGACCCGAGGGGCAGCAACTGTGGACTCCATTTTGAGTGGTGACCTTTTGCCCGGGTGCAACATGTCAGTGTTGTCGACTCCACTGGGAGCAGCGAACATCATGCTGTTAGATTGCACATCCATGCAAATGTCCGATTTCTAAGAAAATCCAGCACGGCGCATTGGGTTTCAAAAGAAGAAACTTCCCCCCGAATGAGGAGGTTGGTAAAAGGGAAGTTGAAAGTCAGACTGGTCAGATCACTCCAAAATGCTTGGGATTTGTTTAAGGACACTATACAGTATTAGAAACTCAATCGGAGTTTGGGCTGCAGGTCTGGGAAAGTGTGGTTAATGAGCAGAGTCAAAGAAGCTTTCGGAGGCCAGAAGGCTTCTTTCGAAAAAGTGGATGTCTTTAAAAAATTAAAAAATAAAAATATTCATTTCCCTTTTTCATTCATTACATATACAATATACGATATCTTTATTGCCCTTGTCCCATGCAGAACAATGAAATTGGAAAACTACATAAAACATTCAAAAACCCCTAAAAACTCTGAAACCCCATTTTAAAATACAATGTACTATAAAGACTCCTTATGCTGCGTTTAGA